CCAGGCTAAGCAATTTAGCAACTTAGGAAGACCTTGTCTCAATATACAAAATTTTTAAAAGTCAGGGGTATATAGTTCAATGCATTGACCCTGTAGTCAACCCCCAGTACTGCAAAAAAAAAAAAAAAAAAAAAGGAAGGAGCTCAAAAGAAGGTAAGCTTCCTCAGCTCAGGATCCAGGATGCTGAGAGTTAAGCCAAACAACAGTTTTCTGTTAAAGTTTTTCAGGTAAACATAAACCTTTTATTTAACCAGGAATTTATTGACAAAAGAAAATATCCTCTAGGTGTGGTGGCACACATGCCTTTAGTCTCTACACAGTAGAAGGCTGAGATAAAAGGATGGCAAATTGGAGTGCAGCCTAGATAATTTAGTGACTTAGTGAAACCCTGTCTCAAGAAATAAAAAAGGGGGTTAGGCATATAGGTCAGTGCAAAGGCCCTGAAGTCAGTACCCAGTACTGCACATAGTAAAAATTAAAAGCCAGGAGGGGCGCATCACCAAGCAGGCGCAGGCACAGCCCCTGAGCCACTCGGGGACCATTTATCAGGAAGGGAGCCCAGGTCCCAGAAATGCCAGAGGTGGTCAGTGCCCTGTACTGGCCCAAGAGAACCTGTGGGTGCCTCAGTCTCCCTAGCACAGACACTGCTCCATGCCATAGGTTTCTGGGACACCAAGCCAGCGCTGGGAAGTGTGTGAGGTGGGTCCCTCAGTACTAGGTGTTCAGCTGGTGAAAATTAACCCCTTGTGCCCTGCACTTGGGTTTATACCCAGTCCACCTGGTCCCCTAACTTTGCTAAGGGGAGCCTGGCTGGAGGGGACATCTCATCACATAGCCATGTCCCCCAGCCCATATGGTGTCTCACCCAAGGACTGTCTCCCTGGGACTGGATGTCAGCATTTGAGCTCTTGGTGACATGGGGACAGGCAGCACGTCAGGGCTGAGGTGCAAGGAGGACCCATGTCCAGCAGGGCTGACAAGATTGGGCATGTTCAAGGGTGGTCTGACCATAGACTCCAGTGGAGTAGAGAGGCTGTATCTTGGACCAACAGAGGCTGTGTGAGTAGAGCCACTGTGGCCTTACGTGGGGGCTGCTCACCACTGCCTGAAGAGCCTGTCCCTTCCACCCCCAGTGGATGCCATTCTGTCCTCAGGAGTCTGAGCATGACCCAGGGGATCTGCACGCCACTTCTCTTGTTTGGAGACCTTGACGGTGGCAGGCAGGATGGGGTGCCCGAGTCCCCACTGTCCCCTTTGCCACCCCATTGTGGCACCTATAGTCAGCAGCCACTGCAGGCTGTGGTAGGAAGAGGGTGGCCAGTGAGGACTCAGGAGGGACAACAGATGGCTTGAGGGCCTAAGGTGCCACCTGCAGGGCTCCTGGCTATGACTCTACCTGGGGTCTCAAGGAAACCCCAGGGGTAGGGGTTCCCTGTGCTGTCCAACTGGGGAAGGCACGAAGGAACTGCTGCCCTGGGTCACAGGTCCAAGGAGCTGGCGTGTGGTGAGCAGGTTCTCTGTGCTCTCAAGAGGGTGCCCACCGGGCGTCTTTCGGGGGCACAGGACCCCTTGGTTTTCGGGGCAAGGGCTGAAAACTGGGGTTCTTGTAATACAGCTCCATGGCCTCACATGGCCCTGTGCCCCTGCGGGCTTGCTGTGGTGGAGCCCAGCCATAGGCAATGAAAGGGAGAGGGGCTCTGTGGTGGGGGTTGAAATGGGGCTACAAGGGACAGCCAGTTGTACCCCGATTTCCTCCAGTAGACCCACAGAGCCCACAAAGCCGTAACCACAGTGGTGGGATAGTTTAATAAATAAGCTCCGGAAGTGACCAGGCCATCCTGGGAGGGAGCCAGCAGCAAGGCGGTGGGCAGCGAGTCCCACACAGCTGGTCCTGGGCTCAGCAGCCCCTGGCGCCTGCAGAGAATGGGGCAGGGCCTCACACTTGTGACCTGGGATACAGACCCCACCCACCCACTGGAATCCAGCTCACCTGCCTCGAGGAATGAGGTGCCCTCAGGCGGGGGGGCTGCAGGAAGGACAGAACCTGTTAGCACCAGCCAGCACTGGGGCCCTCTGTCCGCTTCCCAGGGTGCAGAGCTGTCCCTGACTGAACCCTTTGAGGGGGTGTGGATGGTAAACCCATGCTGGCTTCCCAGTCCATGGCCTGGACCCCACCCCTCCCACAGGTCCCCCTCACCTGAGCCCCTTGCTCCACTTGCACTTGCACTTGCCACCTGTGAGGAGGTGAGAGGGGTCAGAGCCCTCCCAGCCCCACCTCCGCCCCTACCCCTGCCCTGCCCCTGGTCCCACTCACTCAGGGCCCAGGCAATTCCTATGATGCACAGCAGCGCCGCGAAGATCATGCCGCCCAGCTGCAGGCTCTCCCAGTCTGGGCAGAAGGGGGTCAGAGAGAGCCTCATTCACTCAGCCAAGACAGTCGTGGGCCGGGCTTGGGTTCAGAGAGGCCCTGTGTGAACCCTGGCTCCATCCCCAGCATGGAAAGCTGGGCGAGTCCACTGCCTGTCAGTAATGCCCTGCTGGGCAGGTATGCAGTGCCTGGCAGAGCGCTTGCCCACCGCACTAGGCCAGGGTGGGGCTCGCACAGGGGGAGAAAGCCTGTCCAGCTGCACCGTGCTACATCAGTCACCGGACACGGTGTAGGGCCTGGGGGGACAGGTGGCAAAGAGGGGGCTCATAGAGGAAGGAGGAAAGTGTTGCTCAGAGGTGGCCTGAGCAGGGACCCCTGCTGTAGTCTGGTTGGAAGCCATGAAAAAGATCAGGGAGACGGTGCCCCTCGCCCAATCCTCAGACAAACTAAGAGTGCGGCTGTCCGGGGGAGCAGCCCTGACCCCTGTCCCCCTCATCCCTGGCAGCCTGTCTGGCAGAGAGGTCCAGGGTGGCTTGGGAAGGGGTAGCAGCTCTTACCGTAGTAGAAAGGACTGTCTTTCTCTGAGGAAAGAAAAAAAAGTAAAGGCCAGACCAACAATGGGATGGGACTCAAAGGAAGGGGGCTGCTCCTCACCAAACAGGTCGCTGGCTTCCACAGCGGGCAGGCCTGGGCAGGAAGAACAGAGGACAGCAGGTAGTGGTGGTAAGGTGCCATCTGCAGGGTTTGAAGGCCACCCTGGCCTCCTGCAGCCCTTTCTGGTGTCTTCTCCAACCTCTGCCCCCAGCCCACAGCCCCAGGCTTCCTGCGGTTCTGGCTTTGTGCAGAACAGATGACTTGTTGGTATGTCTGCAGCTTCCTGTGGTACCTGGCTACCTCTCTGCTCCCCAAGAAACAGGCTCAGTGAACTGGGGCCGATGAAAATATTTTTGCAGTGCCCACATTCCATCCTTAGAACTATTCCCAGCACGCCACCCCCAGAAAGACTCCGAACTCACCTGCCAGCACAAAGAGGACGGCCTGGGTTGCTCCTTCCATGGCACCACCTGGGGGCAGGGCTGTGGGTGAGACTGGTGGAGAGGTGGGGGCTGAGCGGTGGGGAGCAGGGTGCAAGCCCCCAGGCTTGGGGACAGAGCTCACTCCCTTTTGGTCTAGAGAGGCTGGCACCTGCCTGGAGCCCTGCAGGTTGGCTTACTGAAGAAATGGGGCATGGACAGGGATAATCAAGTCTATAGTAATCCCGCTCCTGAAAACACCTCTGTGTCACAGGTGTGTCACAGAAGAGATACAGAATTCAGGGAGGGGTAGCCAGATGGTCAAGGTCAGCCTCTGTGGGTCTGAGCTAGGGTAGCCCCTGGGCTATTCACAAAGGCCTGGAGCTGGGGTAGCTCTGAGTTTCCCAGGCAGCCTGAGCCCAGGGGCCCTGGGCAGTGCAGAGGAGTGAGCTATCGCTTCGGGGTTGGCAAGGGGTGCTGGCTGAGTGCCTGCAGCACTGCTTCAGAACCCCGATCACACTGCTCACACCCTGACTTCCTCTAGGGTGTGGCTCCATTCACAGCCCCTCTAGTTATCCCTGGTGACCAGGGCCCAGCTTTGTGTACATGGGCATCAGTCTGGCTGGGGTTACTGAGAGTCTGCCCTGAAGCTGCCATTGTGGTCACTGGATGAGATCACAGACCTCAGCCACTTAACCAGGTCCCTTAAACTCTGTGGGCTTTAGTGACCTTGGAAGTGGAGTGAAGCAAACTATTTGTTGAGCCTAAAAAAAGTCTACCACTGAAAACCTATTATAGTATATAAATATATATTATATTCCAGGCATGCTGGCACACCCCTATAATCCTAGCATTCAGGAGGCAGAGGCAGGAGGATTGCCATGAGTTACTGGGCTACATAGTAAGTTCAAGGCCAGCCTAAAAAACAAAAAAGGCAGGGCGTGCTGGTAAATGCCTATAATCCCAACACTCAGGAGGCTATGGCAGGAGTACAAGGCCAGCCTAAATTCCAGTCAGACCCTTTTTCAAAAAAACAAAAAAATTTAAAAAATACATAAATGCATAAACAAGTGTTCATTTACCAGACAAAAGATGGTGGACACTTGGCTTCCAAATGAGGCTGCGGCAGATTAGGCCTAAGGCTGCCCCTACCCAGCCCCCGGCACAGTAGCTTCTCCTGCCCAGGGCAGTCCCAGCCCTGCACAGTGGTCAAAGCAGAAGCCTCCAGGCCAAGAAAGGAGCCCAGCAGCAGCCCACTACTGAGTCCTCTGGACCTGCCACCCTCCCTCAGGCACCTGGGGCTACCACCTTCTTCCACATCCCCAGAGTCCCTTGGGTACCTGCACACCTGGGCGCTCACCTGGGCACGGTGGGAGCAGGTCTGGGCTGCACACAGCCCTTTAAAGCCCATGGCCCCACCCAGGGCTGCCAAGGGAACTGGTCTGGTTGCTCTCCTGCCCCCCCCCCACTTGGCTGGGGCTGAGGGTGAGGGAGGGGATGGGTGGTTTCCTTCTCTTGAGGAATGGTGTTAGGCTGCTCTGGAGTCAGCACAGGTCCTGGGCTTCTGTGGGCCATCTTACGCACAGGGCAGATGGCACTTCGGGGCTGGCCTGAGGCCCCTGTCCTGCTGGCCTTCCGAGAGGACACTTGCCTGGCAAGGAGTTGGGATCTCTGGCTGAGGAGGTGGGCGGGTCTTCTTGAGCAGACGGAAGAGTCATGGGCAGCGGCTTTGCAGTGGCTACCAGATGGGGTGGGGTCTCCAGGCCCAGCCTCTGAGGTCCCTTGCGCAGGACTGCGGTGTTGGGGACCACCATGGGAATCGCCACATGGAGCTCAGGTAGGGAAGGGTGTATGGGAGTCTTTCCCAGATGGTGTCCTTGATCTCTGCCCAAGAGGGGTTGGGGAAGTGGAGACCCCTTAACTTCAGACAGCGCTGGGACGTCTGTGGCTAAGTTGGAAATATCTCCCAGACTTTTTTCCCCTGGTACTAGGGATTGAATCCAGGGTCTTCAACTGATCTACATCCCCATCCCTTTTGTAGTTTTTATTTTGAAACAAGGTTTCGTTAATTTGCTTAGGCTGGGCTCAAGCATGTAATCCTCCTGCAAGCCTCCCAGAGTGCTGGGATCACAAGCCTGCACCACGCCTGGCTAGCCCAGGCATATTTTTAAATGAAAAAATATAAGCCGTACAGTACCATAAGGCAATCTTAATAAGGCACTCTCAGTTGTGCAAAAGGTGAACTCTGTGAGTGCCACCACTTGTGGGACTACTTAGGAACTGCTGCTGCAGTTGGAAAGAGGACTGCCCATGGGAGATAGGCCGGAGGGACACTGTCCACCCCGCTGGCCCCTATGCTGGCTGCACATGTTTAGGAAGAGATTATTCACGATGGCAGGACTGCTGGGCCAGGGGCTTCTGGGATCCCCTGATGCCTTAGCTCATGAATATCTCTGCCTTGGCCTGGAGGTACAGATTCCTCATCCCCAGGTATGGTGGGGAGGCTGAGGGAGGAGCAACGTTCAGTAACCTGCTCTTGTCATGTGTGGTGGCAGAGTATGACCCAGCTGGCTCTGTCGCTGTGCCTTCACGGTCTATATACAGCAACTGTAGAGAGCCCTTCCCATCCTCCTTGCAGCCCAGGAAGTTTATGTTTAATAATCCCATGGAAAAGTTACTGAAATTCTAGTGAGTTAATTCCAATCTACCACTTCCAGTGCAACCCAAGGCGTAAATAAAGACACAATAATATATCCACAATGGTGGAGGATTAAGGGGGTCCTGAGTCCAGCCACAATGATGGCTATCCCAAACAAAGACCTCCACCCAGAGGCTGGGGATATAGCTCAGCAGCACAGTGCCTGCTTGGCAAGTGTGAAGTCGTGAGTTCGATTCCTGGTACCAACCCCCCCTCCCCCCAAAAAAGACAAAGACCTCCACCCAGGGCTGAACCCAGTTTTTATTTGTGAAGAAGAGAGTGGCTTGAAGATGAATGGGGGGAAGTAGGTGAGTGCTATGCGCTGGGCTAGGTAGGAGGCCTGAGATCACCTCTGCAGTATGCAGAGAGATAGATATGCAGAAAGAGTAATCTGCATAACACAACTGAGATAGTATCTAATGTTTTGAGCTCAGTGCTTCAGCTCTGATATGTAACCTTTTTTTTTTTTTTTTTTTGTCTTTTTGAGACAAGGTCTACCTATGCAGTTCAGGCTAGCCTTGAGCTCACTTTGTAGCCCAGGCTAGTCTCCATCTCACAGCGATCCTCCCGCCTCAGCCTCCCCAGTGCTGGGATTACAGGCATGTGCCACCATGCCCGGCTTGCTATGTAACCTTTCAAACCCTAGGAAGTCATAGTGTGGAGCATTAGCTCAACATCCCACTTCATCCCGGCTCACATGTGGGAACAACAGGGGTTTGGGGGTTTGGGGAAACACACCTGCCTGCTGTCTTCAAAGACTACCATCAGTACCTTGGCTAGACTGATGTGCATTGCTTAAAGCCAATTGAAGGGATAAGAAAAGTCCTAGCCAGCTCTGTACAATGTCAATACATGGAAATAGGGTCAGTGTCAGCTAAAATTAGAGACAATTGCTCCTCCTTCAAGGAGAGTCGCCCAGATGGTCCTCCACAAGCAACAGCCTCTATGGGCTCCTTCCTGTGTCCTAGGCATGAAAGCCAAGGCCTTCTGCATACCAGGCAAACATTATACCCCTAAGCTGCCCACTTTGGGTTTGAACTTGGAGTCTTCTTGCCTCAGCCTCCCAGAGTCCTGGGAGTACAGGTGTGTGCCACCTACCCTGGCGACTGTGCTTTTGGCAGAGTGGCCTTTCTGGGTGCCACAGTCTCCTGTAGGCCAATCCCAGTCCTCAGACCCTGACACTGCAGGGCTTTGTTCCTGTTCTCTAGATGCAGGAAAGAGTCTGGGGACAGAATTGCACCTGGAACCCATGCTGGGGATGCTGCTCTGCATTGATTAAAGGGACCCTGAGAGCCTTGCTTTGCTTTGCTTTGCTTTGCTTTGCAGCAGCAGCTCTGGTCTCCCCTCTCTTGGTGTGGGTATATGAATAGAGATAAGTGTGCACTTTGTGTGTGTGTCCACACACACAGAGCTCTTGGAACGGACACTTATGGCCTTCTAGTGATGCCAGAAGTGATGCCTGTGACAGCTGCTGCATCTGGGAAGGCAGGAGAGATCTCAGACTGTGCCAGGACAGACAGCAGCTACTTCCTTTTTACCTTTGGTCAGTCTTGTCTTTTCCTGTGATGGGGGCATGGAACCCAGGGCCTTTGCACTGAGCTACCGCACCAGTCCATTTTATTTTGAGACAGGTTCTCTCTAAATTGTCCAGGCAGGATTTGAAGTTATGATCCTCCTGCCTCAGCCTCCCAAGTGCTGGGATTACAAATATGCACCACTGCACCCAGCCTTTTTGGTCAACCTTAAGAAATTCCTGTTTTATTACTTTTCCTTCAGAAAATTAAAGCCTTCAAGGATTCAAGAGCAGCAGCAGCAGGGCGAAGGAGCGTTTCTGGGGTGAGGCAGGCTCTTGACAGGGACAGGAGCCCAGGAGGGAGCCTCAGGGGCATTGATGTCCAGGCCACTCTGCTACTCACCCCCAGGGCAGAGTCCTTGGTGTCCCCAGCAGTGTTGGCTGACTGGCTCCAGAAAGGGAGAGCTTGTTCTTTTTCTCCCTGATGTCTCTGGCACCAAGACTCTGATCCCTGCTGGGTGCCCACCATCAGCTCCCTGGTGTCCTTGTGGGTGGTGGTGCTTGTCACCCAGCCTTCCCTGTCGAAGCGATAAGAATTCAGAGCCTGCTTTTGTCGCTCCTGGGCTCTGACCAGGAATGGTGTGTGGGAGGTACAAGGGAGGTGACCTGAGGCCAAGCTGAACGCTGCTCCTGGGATGCAGGGCACTTCTGCAGACTATGTCTTGCTTTGTTTGTGTGCCAGTAAAGCCAGCAATTGAAATCAGGGCATCAAGTGCTGTAACCCCAAGCTGTAGCCCTACTGAGCCATCCCAGTCCCAGCCTGCGCTCCTTTAGGCATGAAGTGTTCAGATACCTGCACGTCCCACAGCCCTAAGTTTTGGGTTTAATATCTAAGAAGATAAGCTGGTTAACTAGGAGCTGGCAGTGTGCCACTTCCCGCCTGGGAGGGGCCTGCTGCCACTGGGCCTGGGCCTGGCCACCGGGACAGACTGTCCAGGCATGACGCCACTACACAGGGTGCAGAGACTGGCCTGCCTCAGCTTTCCCTCAACCTAGGGTGAGGCCAAGTGAGCTTTCCACTGTCAACTGTGACTGGAACCGATCGCAGACAGGGCTGGGGCACAACTCTAGAGAGCAGAAGTCGTGAGGGGAGGGGCAGGTGTGGGACCTCCAGACAGGTGGACCTGTGGTTCCTTTCTGAAGGCTTTCCCCAAGCAAAGGTGGTGACTATGCACAGGGTCTCTACCTGCCGCCTCCGCCTTTCTAGTTTTTTTTTTGTATTGTTTAATTTTTACAGGAGATTGAACCCAGGGCTTTTGCGCTAGATTACATCCCCTAGCCTTTTTAATTTTAATTTTGAGGAGGATCTTGATAACTTGCTAAATTGCCAGAGCTGGTCTTGAACTTGTGAAACTTCACCTGCCTCAGCCTCCCGAAGTGCTGGGACAGGCGAGTGCCACCACGCCCGGCCTCACGGCTAGCTCAGGCTGGCCCGACGACGAAACACAACTTCCTCAGCCTTGCTAGCTGCTCATCCCCTGTGTAGTTCTGCCCAGTGCAGCGCATCTGGCCGTACCCTCCTCTCCTCGGGCTCCCGGCGCTGATCCTACTGAGAGCACCGCGGAGGGCAGGAGTGTTGCACACAAGGGTACGGCCAAGTCGCCGGGGCCAGGCACGGAAAGGTCGCGAAGGCCCCAGAACCGCGGCCCAGACCTTCCCTGTGCAGACACTGCCTCCAAAAAGGAACGCCACGGCAGATCCAGGCCTTTGCGCCAGGGCCAGGAGCCAGCCTATTAGAGCCGGACGTGACGAACAGTAGCCAATCAGCATCAAGGGATGTCAGTTGGAGAGGGCCCGCGGTGAAACCTCCAGAGAGCCCCAGGCCTAGGCAGTGTGGGAGGAGCTTTCCACCGGCGGAAACGATCAGCTTTACTCGCGCGGATTGGCTACTCCTGTCACCGGAAGTGCCCGTTCGGTGGCCGTCCTTCCACGCTTGCGCAGTTGCTCGCCGGCGCTCGGCGACCCCTAGCGGCGATGGTGCGGGTCTTGCGGAGAACGCAGCGCTCGGAGGGTGACAGCCTCAAGACCCGCGGAGGGGAAGCGGCCACGGGCGCCGGAGGACCCTCGAGTCGGCCGGGAAGGCGGACAGCAAGACCCCTCCTCCTCCACCTCCACTCCTCCTTCCCTTGCTCTTCCTCCACCTCCTCCACTTTCTTCTGTTCCTCCTACTGTTCTTCCACTTCCTTTCTCTTTCAGTTCGTCCTACTCTTCCTCCTTCTCCATCCCAGCCTCCTCCACTCCAGCCTCTTCTTCTTTTACCCTATCCGACACCGCTTCTCCCTCCCCCTGCATTCCGGCCTCCTCCCGTCCACAGGCCCCTGTGTTCCGTTCCCACCTGGCTGCTCTGCCATGCTCTGCGCAGCCCCTCCCCGCCCACCCCGTGTCCAGTGCTGGGTCCGTCCTGACCCATGGCTTCTCTTTGCCTAGGCCTGGGCCCTCCTGGGCTCAGAAACCCCGGACAGGCGCAGGAATTCAGCACGCGGCCTGGATGCGTGTAGGAGGCAACTGTTGAGCAAGATGACACATTGCTGAGTAGCTCGTGT